CACAACAAGGTATTTCCAAAATTGAAGTCTAACTTCTCCCACTGCTTTTGCCGATATCCTCGCGGTATTCCCACTTTCATCGTGTAGTCCCTGACGGTAAGTTCTTTGTAAGAACTAATACTTAATAAAGAAAACAAACATAAGTAGCAACTCCCGAATCTACTATTCAGAAATAAGGAATCACCCTTTTTACTAAACATGTTTTTAGAACTAGCAAATCATATTTACGAATTTTTCTTAACGAATCTCAAAGTTCTACTTCCTTTGCGTACCTTCTCTTTTTCTTCCTCTACAGAGTACTTAAAAACACAAACAATGGGTTTCCGCTTGCCTGAAGTAGTCAACGGCGCTAAGCAACTTATGAGGAGGTCCTCTTCAGATGTTCCAAAAGGCTATTTGGCAGTTTATGTTGGTGATGAGAGCAAAATGAGGAGGTTTGTAGTCCCTGTATCGTACCTGAATCGTCCCTCCTTCCAAGAGTTGCTGAATCAAGCTGAAGAAGAATTCGGATTTGATCGTCCAATGGGAGGCCTTACAATTCCCTGCAGAGAAGATACCTTCATTGATCTACTTTCTTGCTTGGGCGCCTCATGATGGGGCAGGCACTAATAGATGACAATTGCTAACGAAAATCATTTGTTATGTTTTTATAAGGCAAACAATGCCATTACACAAAAGTCAATTTTTTTCCTTGGGGGCTGAAAACAAACTGTCCCTAAGATTGATACAAATGAATACAATTGCAAATTCTCTTCAATAACTTGTTCCGAGCTTTTATCTTTTTAGATTCTGATGCAAAACTCTCGTAAAATTTCTTGTCCTAAATTCGTTTGTAACAGTGGCAATTGCAATCCTCTCCACTGCAATACATATGATTAGCAGCTCCAAGTTGCAAGTAAAGGAAATGGCTCAAGGAATGATAGTGGTTCATTAGTACTATAATTAAATTTTCCATCTCCCGCGAGTTTATTTCTCGATGAATCAGTTTGAAATTCGAAATTGATGTCATGATGATCACTTGGTTTTTTGTAGTTCTTAACTGTTGCTCTTCAAGGTTTCATGTATGCAAAAAGAAAAATCCACTTGTTCTCTTAGTTTTTGATTATATATCCTGTTAATGTCAATCACATGCCATATACCATCTCTTCTTTTGATCATACTAAGCACCAAATTCTCTCTTTTCTCATTGGTGCTTGCAAGCTAAACAAAATAGGATATTGATCAATAGAATGAAGATCAAGATCATGACCATAAATAACCACTACAAAAGAATTTTCTTTAAACAACACTGGCGTTGGGAATAATTAGTATTACCGACGGTTCCTCGATATCTGGTCAAAGTAAAAAAGATTCTAACCAAAGACCTGACAGGATTCACTCCCAAGTAATCTCAATTTCTGTAACTTCCTTAGAAAGTCACTTTTCTTTTTTCTTTCTAAAGATGTGTGGAAAAACCAGCAATAGCAACATTCATGCAATTAACATTATACTTTCAGAGACTTTCATCTGTCGCATAAATTTTGACTGGATAAAACCAGCCATTTCAGTTAGCAAATCAATGGCCAATATGAAAGTAATACTTCTCTAGAATCTAACCTCTGGGATTCCAAATGATAAGAACAATTAATAATATTCCATTTACTTTAATCCAAAAGGCAGGGAATTAATCAACTTTTATGCTAAATTTGAATGCCGACATAAACAGAATTATTCATGGGGCCTATTGATAAGATTAGGAGGAAAAAAAGAAAAAGAAAAAGTTTTTCTTGATAGCAATTTTAATTATCCGAATAATAAAATAATCGTGAAAAATAATGTCAATCTACAGCTTACATAAAAGACATGGACCCCCAAGACAAGCAAACTTGAAGAAGAAAACTTCAGTGGTCAAATGCTAAGACATGGAGAGATGGCATCCATAATATATATATATATATATATATATGTATATGATATATATACAAAACACACACACACGCATAAGTATACGTACATGTATATTTATTTGTATATGTATATGTATGTAAGTATGCATGCACAGGCCGAGTTCAAATCTTTAAGTATATTATAAAGTGGTCTCAACTAGTGAATAGTGTTTATCAACATTATCACAAAGAGGATTGCATTTTGAAGGCTTAGATGGGGTTGCCTTGCCTCTGCTAGAAGATGTCATGACCAACCAATTCAAGAGAGCTATAAAGAAATTGCAATTTGTAAAATGATGTGTATGGTGCTTAGGCTGACAAGTTTTTTGTACATTCATTAGAATATGTATGTTCATTTTGTTTTTTGTTTTTTGCTTTTTTTCCTAGAAGCAGTGAACTTGGTACTCTTATCAAATTGGTCTAGTGCCATGATTAGGGGCACATTAGTCTGCTGATCATTTCCCTTCTCCCGTTTAGTCCTTGGTCCTTGGATTATACAAGTGGCCCCATTGATCAACTTGAAAGTTTTCATAGTGTTTAGGAAACCAACTAATTAATTCTCATCATTCAATTTTCATGTTACCTGCCATTGAGTTATGCTAACAATGTGACCCAAGTGTCTTTCAAGTTTCAGTTAACAATTTTTCTTTGGAGAAAAATACAAAATGAATTCGTACCACTGGCTTCACCTATATATCTTAATATTTTTCATTGCAAAGAAGGCGTGTTGGTTTTTTCTAGAGACAAGCTGGTAGGACATGATCATTTGTAAAAAAGACAATACCATGTGAATTACCAAAAGTCTATGTCTCTTTGTATGGGACCCATATCTAAATGTCTCTTTAGTATTTGACCATTCATCTTATGCAACAGATTGTTTGGCCTACATGCCTATCAAGTATTCTTCTATAAATACATATTTACAAGGTTGGGTTCAGCAGTATTCAAATCCTCGAATCCTCAAATCTCAAAGCTCAACCTTCCATTCCACACTTTGCTCTTCATTTTTTCTCTCGAGAGAACAAACAAAACAATGGGTTTTCGTTTTCCCCTAGTTGTTAAAGCTAAGAAACTTCTTCAGAGGTCTTTTTCAAATGCAAGCCAATCAGCTTCACCGGTATCCGATGTCCCAAAAGGCTGTTTGGCAATTTATGTCGGGAATGATGAGATCGAAATGAAGAGGTTTGTGATCCCTATGTCATACCTCAACGAACCTTCTTTCCAAGATTTGCTAAGCCTAAGTGAGGAAGAATATGGATTCAATCATCCAATGGGTGCTCTCACAATTCCATGCGGAGAAGAGACCTTTGTTGATCTTATTTCTTACTTGAATGCGTCATGATTTTACATACCGATAGATGACAATTATCACTAACAAAAACAATTGTTGCAACTTTTGTGAGGCAAATATAGATATTGACAATACTGTGTAAATATGTTCCCTTGGGGACTGAAAGGAAAGTGTCCCTAAGAATGATATGAATAGATACTTATTCAATTTTTCTTTAACGCGTTATTTGTTTTGGGATCTTCTTTTTAGACTGTGCTCTAGAATCCTTGTCATTTTTTTTTTTTTTTTTTTATTTGCATTCATCTTTGGTGGCAGAAATTGTTAAACTGCCTTAATAGTGATTTACATGATCAGCATCAAAAACTTATACTTTCACAAGTTTTATTTAATTGGAATTGACAGAGAGCAACCTTGTCTGTTCTATTTGCTAGGGCTTTGTTCCTAACCATCCATAGAAGCAGTGGTTCGAATTACATAAATACAATTTATAGTTGTTACATTCATATGTATTTCTTGTCAGTGATAATGTATTAAGAATTTCCTTCTCATGTACCACTTATTGTCGTTTCATTTTTCTTGTCCCAGTAACGAAAGCTCAACCCAGAATGGGAATATTTCTTCAGATATGACACGAGAAGTGAGAATCGGAAATAATTTAGCAATATTACCTTTCTTTCAAGGTCTTTAATTCGCCGTAAAAACTCGCCTCAGAGATCAAGCAATGAAAATGTCTATTCTAATCTTACCCTAATGCCCACAAAACGTGATGGACATTAAGCATTTCCTCTTAAAGAAAAGTAAAATCAGTCATTTAATTTAGATAAATTTCACGAAAACTCTCATCTAGCGCATCCAATATATATTGTTTGTCCTCTATGAATGATCATGCACTGTGTCTCAGTAACGTTTTGTCTCAGCATTTCCTTCTAGTTGATTCTCAGTAGTTACTAAGTAAAGTCCAATGGGGTTGTCATGAAGGCACAGAGCGAAGAAAGTAATCGTTTAATCGAAGATGGTAGCAAGAAAAATCAAATAACTAATGAAGCGAAGACACAATAATCTTTCTATGACCTGATGGGCTGAATATCAATTAAAAAGTAAAGATGTTGAATCAAAGTAGCAAATTGTAATCTACAACTTTCTCGGGTATTCAAACGATTTTTGTTTGCCTAAAAAGCAAAAAGTAAAAATCTACAATATTTTCTTTACCGGTCCATGTTAGGAGTACAAATTAGAATCTATTTCAAAACCGAGAAGTGAGATCAATGAAGATGTCTTCTCTGCATTGTGAGTCCCCCCATCGGATGGTCATACCCGAACTCTTCCTCTGCCATACTAAGCAACTCTCGAAATGCAGGCTCATTAAGGTAGGACACAGGTACTACGTAGCGCTTCTTCTCGTTCTCTCCAACATACACCGCCAAGTAGCCTTTCTAGACGGTTGTAGACTTAAGAGCTGCTTCTTTAAGACCAGAAAGTGTCCGGCGGAGAGCTTTCTTGCCGTGAACAATACCACGCAGTCCAAATGCCATTTTGATTTCCCTATGTTATTGCTTTAGAGGCAGTTGAGAGACTAGAATTCTCGAATAACTTTTGCCAGTAGAAAATGTGATGACTTGATGCAGAATTGTGGTAATGTGCTATTTTATATAGGTGAAGGGATCTTTGCGAAATTGGGTAGACTTTCAATTTGGAAGAGACACAAGGATTTGGAACTTCACATGGCTTTGTCTTCCGACTAATGCATATTGGAAACTTGGTTATGATTGAAACATACATATATCATGCACACAATAGAAATCTTGTTCCTGCACATACATATTATACACACAACGTTAAAGGAAGTTAATGTGTATTATTCGGAACATCATGAATGCATGGGAATGGATGGAAAAACAAAATCCAGTTATTTAATTAAGTCATCCTTGAGTTTGGTCAACCTACATGCCTCTTTTAGTTTGGACGTCTCTAATCTGTTAATTTAGAGACTATATTATGCATTGGACTAAATTAAAAACTGAGGCTTCCTTGATTTTTCACTCTTGAATCTACATCATATGATTCATATCAAAGTGATCTATTGCAGAAGGACTCTGAGTGTCCAAAAATACATTCACTCCTCAACAACCTTAAAAGCTTAAGCCCCTAATACAAGCAAACTTCAATGGTTAAAGGCTTTACCACGAGAAAATATGTTGCTGTAATAAGCAAATGTAAAATGACCTAAAATAATGTAAAGTGGGGTGACCAAGTGAAAAAAGTTTAGAAACGGATACTATCCCGCCACTTCGAGACACCAAAGAATAGACTACAACTTGTGGAAAAAATAAAAAAAAAATAAAAAAAAATACTTGTGGAAATTTTTTTTTTTTTTTTTTTTTTTTTTTTGTCGAGCACTTTCTAGGCTAAAAAAACCTTTAGTCCAAGCCTGAGACTATCTAAATTTTATTCATTATTTTCTTCCGAGACGCAGTGAACTTGGTCAGCTTATCAAGTTGGTGTTGTTTCATCATTGGTAACTTTGTCTTCTGATCATTTTTCTCCAGGTCAGTCCTTGAAACCTAGATTATACAGGTGGTCCACTAGAAATTCAACATCTGCAAACTGCTCTGTAATTATACCAATTCCCAAAATTCAATTTTCTTGTTACATGCTATTAGTTATCATTAACAATATGTACCACTCATGTCTTTTATCCAATTTTATATTTCTATGATTGTACTTTTCTTCCTCCGAACAGTTGTCCTTTTTTCTTTTGTTTCCTTTCTGTTTTCTTTTGTTTTTTCTTTTTTTGAGGAGGCTGTGTTGACAACAAAAAAGTATAATTAAGTTACACTTATATATCATTATTTTTTTTTTCATTGCGAAGTGGCTATTTATTGGCCTTTTGAAGAGACACAGTAGAAAGACAACACCATGTGATTGCCCAACTGCCTATGTCTCGTCCCATATATAAATGCCCTTCACCATTCATTTTTCGCCAACAGATATACATGCTTGGCCTACATTTATAATTAGCATAAACTACCTTCTATATATATATATATATATATATATATCACATTCATAAGGTTGAGTCCAACAGTATCCGAAGTCATATTCTCAATCTCACCTGTCATAGATCTCTAATCCATTTCCACACTTTTTCTTCTTATTCTTCTTTTCCTCAACAGATAACTTCAATACAAGGTGAGGGGTTTCCGTTTTCCCCGAGCAGTTAATGCTAAGAAACTTCTTCAGAGGTCCCTTTCAAATGCAAGCCAAGTAGCTTCACTGGTACCCGATGTCCCGAAAGGCTATTTAGCAGTCTATGTTGGTGATTGATGAGAGCAAAATGAAGAGGTTTGTGATCCCTGTATCATACCTCAACTAACCTGTTAGGTATTTTTATTAGTTGGTAATGTATTGGTGTAAAAATTTAAAAAATAGGTTCAAGAAGTTTTCAGATTGCAGAAGAAGATTTCGAATCAGATTTAAAGTTAAAGTTACAGATTTTGTTGAGTTGAGATTTGAAGAGATAAAGATAAAATATTGGTCAAAAGAAGATAAAACATTAATTATTTGAATTAAATAGGAGATAAAGCTTGTATGAAGATCAAGTTATTTTCACATTTAAATTCTTGGCTTCATCCGATTATTTTGACTTGGTCAAAGAAAAGTCAAAGATAACTTGCTATAATGAAAGATAATGCATTGATGTGGAGATGGTTAAGAGAATATTAGATGTTGCAGATAAAGCTGAGGAGGATTTTTTGGTAACTGAATATAGGTTCAAAAGTTGAAAAAAGAGATACGTGGAATGGGTTTATATGGGAAGTGGCTGTGCAGGAAAAGGTAAAAGTTGAAAAAAGAGATACGTGGAATGGGTTTATATGGGAAGTGGCTGGGCAGGAAAAGGGGGGTTGACTACAGGAAAAAGTCTTGTGATAGAGAATCGGTGCTTAAGGAGAGCAATCTGTAGTTTATGTTTTTTCTCATTGAAAGTATGAACAAGTGAAGGGAGTTCAGCAGTTAAAGGTGAAGACGTGTGGTACACGCTAAACAGTGTCATTGTGAGAGTTCATCACATCGGCGCCATAGTCTAGGAAGGAGTCCTTGAGTGAATAAATCTGTCAAGGTTGTAATTCTTAAATCATAGTGAAACTGTTTACTGTTTGGGCGTGGTCCCGCAGAGTAGGTGTGCGCACCGAACTACGATATCATATTGTGTGTTCCTTTACTTTATGCACTTTATTTTACTCGAACAACTGAACGTAATTAACCCAGATCTAACACAACCAATATTCCAAGAGTTGCTACATCCAGTGTAGTGTTTATGATTAGCAGGTCGACTTTGCAAATAAAGGAATACAATAAGTGTCCGTGTGGTTGATGTATTTAAATCTGATTCCGTTATAGTGTTTTTCTCTAATAAAAAATGTTAAATCAAAAAAATGTATGCTAATGATTCTCACATAAAATTTGTGTCAATAAATCAGAATTACTCACTTAAATATATAAATTAAACTGACCCTAAAAGAAAATTAAGATAAGCAATGTTATGATTTTTTGCTCAATCAGTGTGTACATTGGGAAAAAGGTAATTAAAAATTAAGATAATCAATTTTAGAATAATTTCAGAAATCAAGGGTGTAAATTGGAACAAATAACAAAGAACAGGAACAAAAGGTATGGATTTACACACACACACACAAAAGAGAGAAAATTGTCATGAAAAAAAATGGAGAAAACATAAAATTGTATCTGAAAGATTGCTGCTTTGAGAACATAATAATTTTGGTGCTGATATGAAAAGTGGGTCTCAATGGTAGGAATACCAACTTCAATTTCAATTTTTGAGTATCAATGTATGTGAGTTATTATTTTTTTATTAATAAATACAATCTTTTATTATTAATTAACGTAATATTTTAAATACATATAGATTTAAAAATAATAATTAAGTTAATAGATAAAAATTGAGATTTGAGTTGATAAATTCAATAACAACTCCGTCTTGGATTGAGGAAGATCCGTTTGGGAAATCAGAACTTTTGTGACCATAACTAGATATTTAAACTGATTAAAACGACATATTATCATTTCAATGGTATTTTAAAGACTTCAGGCTAGTGACTTCACGATGGTTCCAATCTCATTTTCATCGAAAATATCCCATGAGTTCATCGTAATGCGGTTTTCAACCTGACGCTTTTTTCAAAAAAAAAAAAAAAAAGAGTCAAAAGTGTCCCTCTGTTTTCAGGCAAGTGACTGAAGTATGGTTCTGGTCGATCTCATGTTGTATTTGGAGGAAATAGAGATCGAGTTCGTCACATCGTTTGGTGATCGACTTGTGTTCTCTCCATGCCCGAGAAATATTTAAACTGGAGAGACGCAATGGTAAATGTCTAATTATTAGTCAAAACTTGTATGTTGAAAGTGTCCCGTTTAATTCGTTGATTCGAATTTTTAATTTTAATTAAAAATTAACTTTATGTGAGAGCTTTTAAAAAAATTAGATGTAATTATTTCTGAGAGTTTTTTATTGTAGTAAAATTCGAATTCTAAACTTAAATCAGTGAAATAAACGAGCCCATAATAAGTCTGTTACTCAACTCAACATCTTCCAATGAGGAGGGATGGAAAAGAAAATGGTCTAATTGCTGAACATCTGGTCCAAGTATGCACTGTGAATTATGTTGAATTTTGATGTAGCGAAATAGATATGATAGATTTTTACGGGCTTAAACCAGACGAAATATGGGACTCAAAGGTCTAAATCTACTTAAAGAAATGTCACAAAGAGAAAACCCTCAAATTGGAAAGAAAACACTAAAACTTTGTATTCAATATCAATAATCAAGTTTTCCAATTATAATAGTTAATGTGGGTGTTTGTGCACTTAAATATGATAGCAAAATATCCACTAAGACAAACAACAAAATAAAAATAATCTATTAGAGCATCTCTAAGTGAGCTCCCTAATAATTACAGTTAAAATGGCTAGAAAGTTATTTTAACTAGCTACTTTTTAGTGAGCCACTCAAACCATACTCTCTATTTTAGTTAAATATAGATTATTTTAATTTTTTTTAGTTTAAAATATAAATAATTTTTTTAACTTTTATTTTATGTCAAAACTAAGAATAACATAATAAAAAGAATAAATAACTAGTCACTTCTTGCTAGTTATATTTAGCTAGTGGAAAGTGTTTTAGTCAAATAACTAATCATTTAGCTAATGGTTGGAGTGGAGAAAAGTTAAAAAAAATTAAATCATTTACTATTTCAGTTAAAAACATGAAATAACTAGCATGGTTCGAGTTGCTCTTCTTAGTTAGTGAAAAATGCTGTAGCCAAAATAGCTAACCACTTAACTAATGGTTGGAGTGAAGGAAAACTAAAAAAAAAAAAAAAAAGAAGCTGAATCATTAATTATTTTAATTAAAAATATGAAATGACTAGCATGTTGGAAAGAGTTCCTCTTTAAACACTATTCAAAAATTTGATCTATCTATTTGGTCTTTTTGTGTTTTTTTGTCTTCAGCTTCACTTATATATATATATATATATTAAACAACTTGTTTGTTACAATTGACGACCTCTTTTTTATATAATTCATAAAAAAAAAGTGAGATAGGATTTGTTCTCCATACGAGGGAAAGTAAGTTTCATACGGATTGTTATGAAACGTTTCGCACTTGAGGGAGAATATGCAAATGATTTCGTAGGGAGTTTTTCCCACCATTAGGTGAATTATATATATATATATACACTTTCTGGGATATTTCTATTGTTTTTTTTTTTCTTTTCCCGCTTTTGCCTTTATTTCTTATTAATTATTCCTTTTTTTTCTTTCTCTTTTTCTCATTAATTTGTATAACTGTTTGGCAAGTAGTTTTTCCCCACAATTAGATGATATTTTTTAAATATTTTTCCCAACAATTAGATGATATTTCTTATTATTCCTTTTTTTTCTTTCTCTTTTTCTCATTAATTTGTATAACCGTTTGGCAAGTAGTTTTTCCCCACAATTAGGTGATATTTTTTTAATATTTTTTGAGCCTTTTCTTCTGCTTTTTTTCCTACTTTTGTCTTTATTTCTTATTATTCTTTTCTTTTCTTCTTTTCTCTTTTTTTTTCAACAATTTATATAACCGTTGTTTTAAATTAATGAACGCGCATTTTTAACTGATAATAAAATAAATTACTAAGTTAAAATAAACGACAATGAAAATATAAAAATGACAACAAGTAGTTAATCTCCCTACATCAGTTCTAAATTTCCATACATCAACTTTGAGAATAAAAAGAAGAAATATAATTGATTCAAGAAAAGGTTGGAATAGTATTCATCTGTATTATCATTCTCAGGGACATTTTACTTTTGGTCCCTAAGGAAAAATATTTACAATGTATTATCAATTTTTTGTCTAACAAAACTGTAACAATCATTGTTGTTAGCAATTGTCATCTATATATATATATATATATATATAGGTGTCTACCCTCGTCATGCACTTAAGCGAGAAATGAGATCGATAAAGGTATCTTCTGCGCAGGGAATAGTAAGGCCTCCCATTGGATAATCAAATCCAAATTCTTCTTCAGCTTGACTTAGCAGCTCTTGGAATATAGGCCGGTTGAGATATGAGACAGGGATCATGAACCTCTTCATATTGCCGCTCTCATTCCCAACATAGACCGCTAAATAGCCTTTTGCGACATCAGCTACAACAGTTGAAGCTACATGGTTTCCATTTGAAGAAGACCTCCTAAGTAGTTGCTTGGCACCAACAATACCGGGCAAACGGAAACCCATTTTTATATGTGAGTTTTGTATCTAAGAAGAAGAAGAAGAAGAAGAAGAAGAAGAAAGATCTTAAAGGATTTCAAGTAAGGAAAGGTTTGATGCTTGAGAATGTTTGAGGACTTCGGTTGTTGCTTAACCCAATCTTGTGTGTGTATATATATACATATAGTCAATCCTTGACAGGGTATGTAAGAAATGAATGGTATAGACTGAAGAGGCTTCTAAAGTTCTAAGATGGTGGGGTCTATTTGGAGATATTGGCTATTTAGCAATCACATGGTGTTGTCTTCCTACTCATTATGCAATCAAAGTTTTGGGGTGAGAAGACTATACGTCCAAACTGGTCGGCTAAAACACCAACAAATACACCACTTTGTGGATTGTAATTGATAGGAAAATCAATTAGTTGTTTGGTGGTAATTGGAACCGAATTGGGGTTACCTAACAGACATAAGCACCTGAAAGACCACATGGTTATGTTCTCCAGCTCATTTTAAAGAACTTGGCAGTGATTGAAACTGTATAGTAGACGGAATACATGATGGTCAACCATTAAAATTAAGTGTTATATGGATATCAGAAGCCGGTCCACTAGTTTGTTTAAGTGACTAACCTTTTCAAATATTGGACAGGCGTAAACATCACATCTTCATCTTCATTTTCGTGAGGAAAATAGGAGCTTGTGGACCAGACTAATTTTTTATATCATTTGTTCTTCAGGGTATATTGTCAAGTAAGTAACAAGTAGGGTATATTATCATTGTACTGTTAAAAGACAATGAATCTGCTGACAAATTTTTTTTGTTTTAAATGGAATTACCAATATCAAAACGCTCAGATCAGAGTAAAAAAATGTACCCGTTTCTTTTGCTATTAATTTCAATTGCAACCTATCCTATTTCAAGTATCGTAGTAACTATTAAACCATAGTTTTAAATCCATAAACTAAACGTCATTTAAGTCTCTTAAATCTTTAAGCATTAAATATTATCATAACAGAGAAAGTTTACTTTCCCAAAATGAATTGTGAAAAAGAAATAGATAGGGATCATGAGAGAAACATGATCTCGTGGGAGTGCTTGGGTTTGTCTTCTCTCTGATCATGACACGAAGAAGAGTTCACGTGACAGTGACCAAATTGTATATGTTCGTGGAAGCAATATGACCTACCCATTTCAGATTACAGGCAATAGAAGAGAACCCACCAAAGATATTAAATGAGGTGTTGGATAATCAACAAACCAGCTTGACGATTTGATCATTTGTGGAGTTAGAGGAGTATTCTTTACTCCACCAAATAATTTTAAATTCATGGCCGTATGATTCAGTGTACTAAAATTATGCTATAATTTTGTGCGAAGACAAAGGATTGCATATGACTATGGGAAAGGACTATAAAATTCGTGTTTATTATCATTAGCATCAGACGACAATAATAATAATAATAATAATAATAATAATAATAATAAATGAAAAAGCTGTCGTAAAGTTTCGTTATTCGTTCCGTCATCGACCCTATCTATGTTTCTATGATGGCCCAAGAACACGCTCCTTCTTCAGCAATAGAGTGACTTTAGGATTAGGAGGTACCATTACGAGCTCAATATATACATTATTCCGTGAAATAACTCGAATTTCAAATCATTCACTTGCAAAACTACTCATGCTATGGATGTGGGAGCATCAACTCTATTCTTGCGGGCTTCTCAAGAGCGGGAGAAATTTTTGGAATCCTATGAAAGAGTCATTATTATTATCATTATTATTATCATCATTATTATTATTATCATTATTATTATTATCATCATTATTATTATTATTATTATTATTATTATTATTATTATTGTTGTTGTTGTTATTATTGTTGTTATTATTGTTATTGTTGTGGGGGAAAATGTGCCGGACACCTGGACGAGCGATAGTGCGACACGTGGCCTTAACTACTCCCCGCCAAGCAACAACCCTCGACGTCTACAGCTCTAAAGAGCCCAAGCACGAAGCCCCACCCAGGGCGATGATTCCTTCTGGCGTCGACAGATCGTGCCGTCGAGCGTAAGGCACAAAGATCCCTCGACCGCAGAATCAACTACCAAGAAGGACGATTGGGCTAAGCGGCGTCGCTGGCGACGAGGGGAACGCTCTCTGGAGGACGTGGCAAGTTGCGTACAAAGATGAGGGACGTCAGTAGGCATTAATTGCAAGCTTTTAAACCGCCCCACATGGAACAGGATAGGGTTACAGGGGTGCACAGAGCCGTAATAGAAGACTAATTGGCTGAGTGAACAGTGCTGATTAGTGGGCTACGTCTGGGCCTAAAAAGGGAGAGCACTTGAGTGCTTCTGCCCAGGAGGAAACCCACCTGGCGAAGAAAGCCCAGTATAAAAGGAAGAAGACCCCGTACAAGGAGGGGGTTGAAAAAGAAGGAGAGTGAGAGATAACAATTGATGTAAATTGTAAATCCCCTCAAAAAGAAATATACAACCACAGTGGATGTAGCTCTAATTTTACGGAGTGAACCACTATAAAATTTCGTGTCTTTTTGTTTATGCACATCCCAAAACAATAAACTTTCACACACATTCAACACATAGGCCGGTAATCCAAAGGGAGACCAAGAGGTAACCCGGCTAGTTTTTGTTGGTGAGAAATCACCGTCAACAATTGGCGACTCCACTGGGGACCGAAAGCGTTCGAACCCCAACAACATAATTAGCAAACACGCCTCCGAGATAGACGGACGAAGCCGCCATCCATCCAGGGAGTAACGGGATGGAAGGAGATCTACGCCCGATCGAAGATGAAGCCCCACCCCCGGGCGCGCCACGGCCGGATCCTGCGCAGATGCAGGCCCAACTGACCACTCTCACTGAGCTGGTACGTGGCTTGATGACCGAGGTTGAGCGCTTAGATGGAAGGAACTCCATGCCACCATTAGAAGACGCCCCGAGGCCGCAAGGATCTGCCATGGCTGGACACCCGAACCCCGGTGACCACCCACATATCCAAGAGGGAGCCGGGGATAGCGAGAATCACCGGGCCCTCCTAGGCCTCGGCCTTCCCAATCCTCTGGCAGCCGTTTGGGGGCCGCCGGACTCTGAGCTCCCGAGGACCGGGTACCAAGAGGTCTAGGAAACCCTGAGGTACTTTCCCAGAATCCAGGAGGAAACCCGCCAGGAGACTCAGGATCAGTACAGGCAGGCGGCCAGGCCAGGGGCGGACCCAACGCTTAGAGGGTAGAAGCGTCGAGAGTAGCTGGCTCGGCCATTTCAGCAGAAGAAGCACGCGCCATCATAGAACGTGTGGCCAGCCTGGAGCAAAAACTGACGAAGGACGTGGCAGGTCTAAAAAAGAATATAGGTCGTGTGGCTGAGGTGGTAAATGTCGACATCACACCCAGCCACACACATGACCATCCATTTACCGAAGAAATAATGGCGCCCCCTCTCCCCGATAAATATAGGTCACCGTCGATCCCACCGTATGATGGGCGAGGAGATCCCGACGGCCATTTGGAGATGTACACAGGGCACATGCTCTTGCACGGTTATGCTGAGGAGATCATGTGCCGAGCCTTTCGGAACCATTTAACGGATTCTGCCCGAAGATGGTTCCGGACGCTGAGGCCAAACTCTATCTCGAGCTGGGATGAGTTGAAGGAAGCGTTTTCCCTCCAATTCATAGGGGTCAAAAAGTACGTCCCCCCAAAGCAGAATCTGACGACGATATACCAAAAGCCGAACGAGTCACTAAAGGAATGGCTCGCGAGATATGGGGAAGCTGTCGCCGCCACGATGGATATAACAGATAGAGAGGGCCTGATGAGGGCCTTATCTAGCATGAAGAAAATTACCCCCTTCAAGAGAGAGCTGAACCGGAAACCTCCGTCCAGCTACAAGGAATTTTTGGCGCGAGCGTAGGGGTACACCAACGCCGAAGAGGCGGACGCAAACGACCCCAAGCATAGGTCCAACAAGAATAAAGGAACCGAACAAGGGTCGACGCCTGTGAAACAGGATGGGAAGAAGCGTTGAGGCGGAGGAAGCGGAGATAAGCAACCCGCCGCGACGACGAGCGCTCTAGAAGCCAAGAAGCCGAGGCAAGAGGATACTCGTAAGCCTCGACTATTCCAAAAATATGATTCCTACCACGAGCTAACGGTAGGAGTTGAGGAGGTCTTCAATCAGGTCGGCCGCGGGAACTTACTGCGCCGACCGGAACCAATGAAGTAAGATCCCAACCGAAAGAACCAGAAGAAATTCTGTAGGTTCCACGGCGATGTCGGCCACCACACCAACGATTGCGCCGACCTCAAAGATGAAATCGAGAGAGTGATCTGCGAGGGAAGGTTACAAGAGTTCAGGGCCGAACGGAGACCTCGAAATGACGGTCATGGTGGGCAAAATGACGGTCGACGCCGAGAGGAGAACCAGCGTCCAGAGGATCGCGAACCCGTCGGCGTCATACTGACTGTCCTCGGTGGTCCCTATATAGGAGGAGACTCAAGGAGGTCTCAGAAGGACTATGCCCATGAGGCCAGGGGGTTTACCATGAGCGATTCTGGAGCGTCTCCGCTGCAAAAACCCCAAGGTACAGCCACACCGACGTGGCCTTTAACGAGGATGATGCCAATGGGGTTCATTTCCCCCATAACGACGCCTTGGTGTTGGAAGCCATGATAGGAAACCACACCATGTGCCAAATCCTGGTAGACAATGGGAGCTCGGTGGACCTCCTATACTCCGACTGCTTGGAGAAAATGGGGATCCAAAAGGAACAATTGGAAAAGACCTCCAGGCCACTATATGGTTTCACCGGGGACTCCGTCATCCCCCAGGGGACCATCCAGCTGCCTATAACCGCCGGAGAAAAACCCCGACAGGCTACCACAATGGCCAACTTTGTGGTTATAAAAGGAGGCTTCCAATACAACGCCGTGATTGGAAGACCAATCCTTCAGGCGCTAAGGGCCATAACTTCCGTCTACCACCAAAAGGTCAAGTTCTATACCCCAAATGGTGTGGGCGAGATAAAGAGCAACCAGTACGAAGCTAGGGTTGCATACTCCGATGCCCTATGCGCATATGACTAGCCGGGAAGGCAGGAGGCTAGGGTGGTTTATCAGGACCCCGTCGAGGACATAGACCCCAGGGTTCAAGAGGAGGTCACATGGTTTCAACCCATCGAGCAATTGGTGAAAATTCAAGTTGATGAAGGTAAGTCCGCCAGAGTGCTGAAAATAGGCTCAGACTTAGCCCCATCCCTTAAAATTAAGATCGAGAGTTTCCTCAGAAAAAACTTAGATGTTTTCGTTTGGAATCATGCCGACATGGAAGGGATCGATGCTGAAGTTATCAGTCACTCCCTAAACGTCAACCCCTCATATCCTCCCAAACGCCAGAAGTGTCGACCGATGAACCCAGAGAGATATGAAGCGCTGAGAGAAAAGATCGACAAGCTAATCAACAATGGCTTCATCAGGGAGGCCCGCTACCCACGTTGGGTATCAAACCCTGTTCTAGTAATCAAACCCAACGGGGACTGGAGAACATGCGTCGACTTCAGCGATCTCAACAAAGCTTGCCCAAAGGACGACTTCCCACTCCCACGGATAGACCAAATGGTCGACGCCAAGGCGGGACATGAGATGCTGAGTTTTATGAACGCCTACTCCGGATACAACCAAATTCCCATGCACCCAGCCGACGAGGAGCACACGTCTTTCATAACCGACAGGGGCCTCTACTGCTACAAGGTGATGCCTTTTAGACTAAAAAATGCGGGGGCTACCTACCAGAGGCTCGTAAATAAAATGTTTGCTCAATAGCTCGGCAGGACAATGGAAGTCTACGTCGATGATATACTTGTGAAAAGCGCCAGGGCCAGCCAACACATCGACCATCTGGGGGAAATGTTTGGTGTACTGAAAAAATATCACATGAAACTTAATCCCCAAAAGTGTGCCTTTGGAGTGGGGTCTGGGAAATTCCTCGATTTTATGGTCAGCAACCGCGGGATAGAGGCAAACCCCGAAAAAATTAAAGCCCTACAGGATATGCAGTCCCCAACTAAACCAAAGGAAGTACAAAGGTTAACAGGATGTGTCGCCGCCTTAAACAGATTTATATCAAAAGTGACAGACAAATATGTCCCCTTCTTCGACGCTTTAAAAGGAAGCAGGCATTTTGAGTGGACACCGCAATGCGAAGAGGCCTTCCAGAAATTGAAGGAACATTTGGGCAAGCCCCCAATTTTGGCAAAGTCAAATCCCGACGAAGAGCTCAGCCTATACCTCTTCGTATCCCAACACGCCGTAAGCTCCGTACTGATAAGAGAAGAAGAAAGGGTACAATTGCCAATCTACTATGTGAGTAAGAGGCTCCTCGACGCCGAATCAAGATACAGCGAAATGGAGCGCTTAGCCCTCACCCTGATGGTAGCATCCAGAAAGCTTCGGCACTATTTCCAATCTCATACCATACGGGTTCTCACAAACCACCCGTTGAGACAGGCTCTACAAAAGCCCGAAACTTCCGGTCGACTCCTCAAGTGGTCAGTAGAACTAAGCCAGTTCGACATAAAATATGTGCCAATAACTGCGATCAAGGGCTAAGCGTTGGCCGATTTCTTAGCCGAGTTCTCCCATAGGCCGGCTCCCACCACGCCTGAAGGAGTCGAGACTATAGAATGGAAGCTCTATGTAGATGGAGCGTCGAGCGAAAGCGGGTCAGGAGCTGGCGTCTTGTTGATCAGCCCAGAAGGCCACAAGATTACCTCGGCGGTTCGATTTAAATTCAAGACGTCGAACAATGAGGTGGAATACGAAGCGCTAATCGCAGGACTACGATTGGCCAGCCACCTAAAGATCGAAAAGCTCAGTGTCTTCAGCGATTCTCAATTAGTCATCGGGCAAGTAAAAGAAGAATATCAAGCGCGCGGCGAGAAAATGGGAGCGTACTTACGGAAGGTAAAGGAAGAACTCGTTAAGTTCAAAAACTACGAGATACTCCAGATACCACGAACCGAAAATGCAAACGCCGACACTCTGGCAAAGCTAGCATCTTCAAGAGAGTCCGACACACTAGACGTCGTTCCCATCGAAGAATTGGAGCGACCGACTATTGAAGAAAAAGTTAAGGCATTAATCGTCCAAGCAGGTGAAAATTGGATGACGCCACTCATCCAATACCTAATGGACGCACAACTGCCAAACGATAAAGACGAAGCCAGACGGATCAGGTATAGAGCTGCTAGGTACTTATTATACGACGGCTTGCTCTACCAACGAGGCTACTCAACCCCTCTACAGCAGTGCTTGGATAATGCCGAAGCCCAAAAGGTCCTCCACGAAATCTATGAAGGAGTCTGTGGTAACCACACTGGGGGGCAATCTTTGGCTCTAAAGGTTTTAAGGCAAGGATACTACTGGCCCACGCTAAAAAAGGACGCTTTCCAGTACGCCCGATGTTGCGACAAATGCCGAAGGTATGCCACAATTCCTAGAGCACCCCCAAAAAATTTAACCTCCATTCTCAGTCCATGGCCCTTTGCCAAATGGGTTGACCTGATCGGGCCATTACATCTTGCACCCGGAGGCTTTAAATTTGCAATCGTCGCAGTGGACTACTACACGAAGTGGGCGGAGGCAAAGGTTCTAACTACAACCACGGAAGCAGCCTGCACCAAATTCATGTGGGATAACATCGTATGCAGGTTCGGGGTTCCCCACTCAATAGTATCCGACAACGGAAAGCAGTTCGACAATGCCTCAACACGCAGATTCTACGACAACCTGGGCATTCAGAAAGATTTCTCGGCGCCAATCCATCCATAATCTAACGGACAAGTCGAGGCGGTCAATAAAATACTAAAGTATACCCTCAAAAAGAGACTCGACGATCTAAAAGGAAAATGGGCCGAGGAACTTCCCAAGGTCTTATGGGCATACAGAACGACGAGCCGAACTACTACGGGTGAATCACCCTTCTCCATGGCATATGGCGTCGAGGCAGTTCTCCCCGTAGAAATTGAAATGCCGACTCTAAGAACCGTTGTCCATAACGATAACGACAACACGGAAGGCATGAACGGAGGACTCGACTTGTTGGAAGAAAAAAGGCTTGACTCCCAACTGCGTCTCGCCGCCTATCAGCAAATAGCAGCACGATATTACAACAAGAAAGTACGGCAAAGAAAGTTCGTCCCAGGGGACCTAGTATTAAAAAGGGTAACGCAGAGTACAAAACCCAAAAATACTAGTCCACTGGGCCCAACTTGGGAAGGGCCCTACTGCATAAGGGAAGTACTACGTCTTGGCACCTACATTTTGGAAAGCCTCGACGGCAAGAGAATTCAACACCCATGGAATGCAGAACAGCTAAGGCTGTACTACCAATAGTGTATGTAATTCTTACACATCCCAATTGTATATTCTCTACAAATTAAATAAATTGATATGTTTGCAGAAAGAAAGGAATTCACCCCTTAACAACATGTCTGCTTAAAAACCAAAGTTATATCAAACAGACATGGGGGGATAGAGGTCCACAAATCACTAAAAACCTGGCAAGACGACCCCAAGGGGTAAATTCGACATCAGATCCTCCAAGGAGGAAAGGCGAGCACTTAGCAAAAGTCAAAGGAATTTTCTAAGGCGAAGACCCCAAGGGGTACAATCGACGTCAAATCCTCCAAGGAGGGAAAGTGAGCACTTAGAAAAATTCTAAGGAATTTTCTAAGGCGAAGACCCCAAGGGGTACAATCGACGTCAAATCCTCCAAGGAGGGAAAGCGAGCACTTAGCAAAATTCTAAGGAATTTTTCTAAGGTGACGACCCCAAGGGGTGAAATCAGCTTCAAATTCTCCAATGAGAAAATACGGACACTTAGCAAAATTCTAAGGAATTTTCTAAAAACAACAAATTGCAAAGCAAAGCCTCGCCGCCAGCCACCAACTCATCACCGTTACCAGGCGAGGAAACATTGTCATCGCCAGCAGGAGGAGGAGAGTTATAAAGGAAGCTCAAGTCCCACTCAGGACGCTCCTTCTTAATCAGATCGACAAATTGTTGACCCGCGGACTGAAAATCCTTGGTACGGATGTCAGTGAGCTCCTGAGAAGCCTTGAACTCCTCAATAATCTCGGCGCGCCTGGCATCAAAGGCAGCTGTAGCCTCTGCTTCGGCTTCCCTCTTCCCCTCAGCAAAACGCTTCTCTGCTTCCCCAGCTGCTTTAGATAACTTTTTATCGGACAGGTCTGCCCACTTCGTGAGATTCTCGACCTCAGCCTTCAACTTTGCTAGTTCGTCTTCCAAACTCGCCAGCTTGGCCAAGGCCACGTCCCTCTTCTTGACGGCATCATCTAGCTATTTTTTGGCATCGGAAACAAGGGAGTTGAGCTTGGCTTCCACGTCGTTCATCTCCTTATCGTGCTCCTCAACCTTAACTAGGTCAAGGAGGTTAAGGATGGAAAAGACCAGGCTCTGAAAAGTCAAAGGTCAGAACGAAGAAAAAAAAAGCTCTCGACAAGATCTTACGTGGATTTGGAAGGAGATTTGTTTGCGCTGACGGTCGACCAAGGAAGATTGGGTGGCAGCGACCCAGTGTGGCTCGAGGAAAGACTCATAGAGAGCCTGAAAGACGAGGAAGAAGCGAGGGAAAAGTTTTAGCATCGCCCCAATCTCGGCGTCAGATACGTCCGGGACTTGAAACTTGGGATCCATAATTTTAGCCCCCGGAATAAGTACGCACTTTCTCAGCGCCAGGGGGATGTCAACGTCAGGAATAGGGACCGTCGGCATCCACGTCTCTACCACCGGCGTTTTTTCCTTGCGTCTCTCTTTTCGCACCGGATCTATCTCCGACCCCGAAGGGCCTTTGGTCTTCTTGCTCCTCGGCACGTGGGAAGAAGAGCTAGCTTTCTCCTTTCCCTTCGACGGGGGCTGCTGGCTCGGTGGGGGTTGTTGATTCGACGGCGGCTGCTGGCCCGGCCCGGATTGCTGGCTGCCAAGGAGTTGGATCATCAAAGACACCATTTCTATAGGAAACGACGAGACTAAGATATAGTCAGCAGTTAAAAAACCCAAGCCACGATAAAGAAGGGTGTTGAAAGCAAAAAATACCTTCGTCGTTTAGGTGAAAGTATTGACGGACGACGTCTAAATTAGCGGGGTCAGGGAGATCAAGGATTAACCCGGCACCTCGAAGGTTGGCCTGGGTCAGGAGGGTATCTATATGGCGAACCTCGGACGAGTACGAAAAGGCCTTCTCGATTCTCGCTTCCCAGAGAACTTCGGCCGGTCCTGGTTAATTGAAAAAGAAGAAAGATTGTCAGCATACGAAGGAAAAGAAAAAGGCGAAGTGAGGTAAAAGAAAGCCAAAATTCTCACCCATGTTCCCAAACGCCGCTTGCACTTGCCTTCGACGTGGCAGGCGGTCGTTGGGGGGAAAATTGAATGGCCCACGAATCATGAAAAACATGGGTTTCCACCTACATGATGACGAGGGAATCCCTAGTATCAACTTCCCGAATCTGGGCTGAGATCTCCCGTGTCCGCTCAAAAAATACCACCCCTCACACTTGGCGATGTGGCATAGTTTGTACATAAACCGGAACTCGTCTACAGGGAGTTCCATATCAAACTTTTGGTGCCACAAAATCCAGGCACCGGCAAAGCAGTACCAGAAGTTCGGCGCTAATTGAGCGGGGGAAATGCCATAAAAATGGCAGTAGTCCTTTACGAAAGGATGAACTGGGAGGGTCATCCCCGCCGTAACGGCTCTAGTATAAATCGGGAGGTACCCGGTCGGCGGCATGCTAGTCCTAAAATACATGTCCGGGAGGAGGTATTCAAACCACCTCCCATCGATGCATCCCTCCTTTACAGCCCGGATGATACCTTTATTTCGGACCCTTGACGCCACAACATCGGCGGTAAAAAAGGGCCTATCTGGATCACCACTTGTGGCAACCAGGGAGGCATCTACTGTCGAGGCAACCACCCCGCCTATACTGCCCCTCGTGAAGGGGATCCGTTCTACCGCCTCGTCCAACATCCGTTCTACGCTGCCAAATTCACTACTGAAGCTGTCGCCTGGTACATATCTGGCTTCATATCCGGCCCCGACGTCTTCTATGTCTCTCAGCACGGAGTTGATGCTTGAAGACGAAGAAGACCATGAGATCTCCACCATTGAAAGGGAGTCTAGACGGACGACGGAAGAATCCTCTCGACTGGGGGAATTTTGGGCCATCGTTCTGATGATTAAAAAGGCAATGAGCTGAGTTAAAATCCTAACGTCGAGAGGAAGAAAAGGGTGACTATTCTAAATGATGACTTATCATACGCCTCGACTTGACGTCGACCATTCATATGAGAATGGTAACGGTGAGTGTTCATAAAATTTCAAGTCCCTCAGAAACCAGAAGAACACAGACAACAGTAAATGGAAACAGAATTGTCCTATACGGCAAAGTAAAATAGAGTAAGTATCCCTAACTTCTACGTTCTGCGTATTTCCATACATATGTAAATCAACCAGAAAAACAAAGAACAAACCCCCCGTGAGTAAGCAAAACAAACAAAGGATGATGAAGCTTACTGGTGAAAAAGGGATTTTAGGGAGAAAACCTCAGGTTGAATGCAACTTCACGACATGCCTTGAGAAGTAAGAAGTACGAATCGAGGTTCTGTGGAGAAGGATTTTGACGGAGCAAAGGGCAATTCAGCAGGTACGGGGGGGTTGTTTGCATTTTTGAAAAAAAATGGTTTTTTGGTTTGAAGAGGGTATTTAAAGGGGCGAAAGTCCTCGGCCCCTGACCGTCGGATGAAGACATTTTAGATCCAGCGGTAAGGGGTCCTGCCTAGATCTGACGGTGACAAACGAGGGCGGGAAACGAAAGAGTCACAATCCAAAGGCTCGCACTTGTCCTTTTAAAATGAGGCCTTACATCATCATAGGGAATCAACCGGACGGAGCAAAGGGCAATTCAGCAGGTACGGGGGGGTTGTTTGCATTTTTTAAAAAAAATGGTTTTTTAGTTTGAAGAGGGTATTTAAAGGGGCGAAAGTCCTCGGCCCCTGACCGTCGGATGAAGACATTTTAGATCTAGCGGTAAGGGGTCCTGCCTAGATCTGACGGTGACAAACGAGGGCGGGAAATGAAAGAGTCACAATCCAAAGGCTCGCACTTGTCCTTTTAAAATGAGGCCTTACGTCATCATAGGGAGGGAGAAAACCTCAGGTTGAATGCAACTTCACGACATGCCTTGAGAAGTAAGAAGTACGAATCGAGGTTCTGTGGAGAAGGATTTTGACGGAGCAAAGGGCAATTCAGCAGGTACGGGGGGGTTGTTTGCATTTTTGAAAAAAAATGGTTTTTTGGTTTGAAGAGGGTATTTAAAGGGGCGAAAGTCCTCGGCCCCTGACCGTCGGATGAAGACATTTTAGATCCAGCGGTAAGGGGTCCTGCCTAGATCTGACGGTGACAAACGAGGGCGGGAAACGAAAGAGTCACAATCCAAAGGCTCGCACTTGTCCTTTTAAAATGAGGCCTTACATCATCATAGGGAATCAACCGACGCGACGGTTGCGTCCCCCGAAGGAAATCCGAAGCATCCAGATAAGCATTACGGGTGAAGGCTCGGGACCGATTCCCCACACCCGAGGCACGGAAGTACGGCCGAACCAAAGCTCGAGGCCACCTAAAAGGAGCCCTCGACTTAGGGGGTAGTTGTTGTGGGGGAAAATGTGCCGGACACCTGGACGAGCGAT